AAGACTAGATAGTTTTTCTCTGTATTGGACTCTAATAAGTTTAAAAATCTAATCCATTTGACCAGTTTGCCATCGAGCACCACCTCTGTCACTGTTGAGCCCTAAGTTCTATGCGACCTGGGATATCAATTCTTTGATACAATGGCTAACCCTGCAACGGCTGATATAGATAATTAGTATGGCATCGTCCAAAGGGCACACGAAATAGTTTGTAGATCTGAGAAGGTCAAGAGTACACCGGGCGGTAACACATTGGGCCTTCCAGCCTAAATACTTAACTCAAGTTATATATATAAAAGGGTGTAGGAGGGCAAAGGTAAAAGATTATATACATGCTGCCAAAGTTTTAAAATATTAGGTGTAGTAAAAAGAAATCCACCATTTTTTCATAAAATTGAATTCTTCAATTATCACTTTTCACATCCAACCTTGTTAAAATGGTTCCAAACGGTTTTTTGTGCAGTCTTTAGCTCTTGTGCTAACATGGCGGTCGGACTCAACAGTGTCTATGATTTTATCGACAGTTTCGAAAAATAGCTTTCGTCTTCGTGAATCATCTTTTACATCAAAATGAATAATCTAAGTTTTCGCATCTTTTATTCATTTACTTCTCAGAAAATTAGAGCGGAATTCAGTCCAATTGTAAAAAGCGATGGAAAAACCCTTCCACCACCAACCACTTCCTTAGCAGAGAAGGATGGACGTAAGGTGGGTCCATCGATTAAAATGAAGATGTGCGTATCTAAATTGATGGGTCTGAATGTAAGACGGGAACTAGAGCAGAGTTTTTCTGTGACCACGTCAAACGCCCCGGTAGCGTCAAACTCAATGACGTTGTAGTTATTGTATTGTATTTGTATTTCACGCAGATATTGTGTGTATTACTGAAGTTGGTGAATGGGAACTACTTTAAGGGGAAAAATCTATCCAATTTTCGGTGGTAGACCGTCAAGTGGCCATTAAGGAAGTTGCGTCAACACAAAGTTCAGATGCGTTAGAACATGACAAAGAGTCAATTAAATGACAATAATCACTTGAGTCGCTGGTTAGACGGATGGAGATATCATCTCCATAAGATAGGTAAAGTAGAATCGGAGAATGATAAAACGCTGAAGCGCTGCCTTTGTTGAAGCACTGCTGCTTGAGACGTCGAGTTTTCCAAAATGCTGCCAGATCTATAAAAAAATATATATATAAATTAGACAAGCTGTACCCTGCAACTCTTGTCTGTCGCACATACATTTAATGTATCAAAAATTGATCACGGCATTTTTTTATCATATTTTTATTTACTCGTAACTTATGGGAATACAACATTTTTGGTTTTACCATTGACATTGGTCGAGAGAAATGGTCCGAATTTTTGAATAGGCCAGTCCCGGTCCACTTTATGGAGAGAAGTTTAGTCTTTCTGTCAATCTAAGCAAAAAGCCAGCGTTATATAAGCTTTCTGAAAAAAATTTTAATTTTTTTTTAATCGGTCAGTAACCTTGGGAGATTTTCGGAGATTACTGGATTTTTCCAAACAGATATACAATTTTTATATTAGAAAAAAAGAGGTTGGGTAAACCAATTGGAAGAAAAATTAAAAAAAAAAGATTTAAATTAATTTGTATGGATAAAACTCACTTATGGGAATTTACCATAGCGATTTTTCGTCCGAGCTCCTCCACCAATTTGTGGTTTTGCGTCTTGATGATTTTACAGCAAATGGAGGGACCTACAGTTGAGCAACCCTTCGGGTTAGGGGTTCAAGAATTTACCCGCGGTAAGGCATGCCTGTCGTAAGACGACGACGAAAATCCAATAGTTTCCGCGATAGTCGGTTCTTTATACCGGAACGTCTCGCACTTCTATCCGGCCAAGGACTCTCACTTCCGCAACATACCCCGAAGGGTACTTCGGGAAAAATTTTTGCGGTTACAACAACAACAACCTACAGCTTATACAAAGCCGCCTCCGAACGGCGAAATACACAGGAGGGTTGGACATTCTCTGCCGAGGGGCGACCACAATTGGAAAATTTTATTTAATTTATTATTTTTTTTCTTCTTTTTATTTTAATTAATTTTCCATAACTTTTTGATATTGGTGGGACTGGGATTTGCACCTGTGCCATGCGAATGTCAGTACGCAATTCTAATCACTTGGCTACTGCGGCCATCGGAAAAAGTATTACGTTTTTTTTTATTTTTAAACCAGATCCAAAACGAGCTTTAGCGTCACTAACAAACAAACATACATTTTTATATCTAAAGATATGTTCAGATGAAGGTTCCCTGTTAAGTTAAAAATTGAAATGTTCAAAAGAAGTTTTCACAATTAAACAACTGTGACGTGTGCAATGTTTTCACTCCAAGATTTTCATGATTTTATGAGCTCCTTGAATACGCAAACATTCGTTTTACTCCTTCAAATGATACTAATTTGCGCAGAGGAACTTTTAATTTCCACAGAAGCCCTAGAAAACTTAACTTTCCCTGCCTTAGTTATTACCTGAAAATTACGATTTTATGCAGAAATTAAGTAAGCAGGCTACACACACACACACACACACACACACAAACACATACAGTACAGTTCCACCTCTGCTCAGCACGATTAAATATTCTAATTTATGTATGCATGCATCCATGTATGTATGTATGTATGCATGTATGTATGTATGTCAGTATGCATATATGTGTGTGTATAGAAGGTGTACGAGTGTAAACTGAAGTGTGCAACAACTTAAGCGTATAGAATGAAAAAGTGAAGTAATATAAGCGCTGACACACACACACACATACACGTATATCCAAATACACGTACATAAACTGAATGCAACAGCAGCTGAAACGCCATCACATTTAGCAATTAAACTTTTGCAACTGCTTGTGCTCTGCTGCTGAGCGGCTGAGCTGGGTGCGGGTGTGGGTGCGGGTGCTGGTGCTGGTTCAGCTGCACGTACTCGACTGCTCATTTACATAGCACTGGGTACCGACATCATTTTAATTTATAAAATATAGTAAGAGTGATGGCAAAAAAAGGAAGCAAAAACTTTACTTCACAACCAACTAAGTGTTGCACTTGGCTTTATCGTCTTCGTTATTGCTTTGCTCCCACTCTGCCATTGCTGTTGCTGTTGCTGCTGCTGCTGTTGTTGTGGATTTTAAATTTTTTGTCTGTTTTTTTCCTTCACGTTTTTATTTGTTTGCCCAAGTTGCATAGTTGCGTACTTGAAGTGCTCCGCATTATGGTTGAGCCAGTGGGGCAGCGGCCCGTTTGGGGGAGGAAAACAAGTCAAACGCCAATTTTCCAAAGTTTCACGTCAACGCCACGTGCTGCTGCAAGTCATTGCAATTTGCCTTACCGCGGCAGTAGCGCTTCATCCCAAACGCTGCGGGGCGATCATCAATCTGTTATTTGAATTTTCCTATTTACATTCAGTGCAACGACGCATTTTTTACTTGCAACACACATTCTCATCGCACGCGCACATACACCTACAAACGTACAACTATTTTAAAGCATATAAACTCGTATGTAGACATATAAACGTACCTTGGTACGCTCCAACTGGGTGGTGGATCATTTCTTGTTGCTGGTCGGCGTAGCTTATAAGTTTATCGGTAAGTTTGTTTGCCGCACTACCACTGCCACGCCACCCGCGTTGTTGGCTGGCCGTTTGCGCGGCGTCTATTTTGTATGCAAAACGATTTATTGCTTTTCCGAATGACTTTTGACCAACGTTTGCTTTTTTTAGGTCGTTTCTCATACGCTGTGGCGAGCAAAACTATAAAACTCGGTTCAAGCTGAGCGCAAGTGACGTGGCGCACCAGAGCGTTGCGCCAAACATTGCTTTTCTGTGTTCCCAGCTCATACCACGGTGTTGTATGTTCATGGCACATGTCCGTGCGCCTGCATTTGCATAACCTCGTCACACACTTCGTTCATTCGTTTCTGCGCTGGTCATCCAAGCTGTATATGCGCTATGGTGTTGCCATGCAATGTATCGCAGGCTCACTCACTCACTCGCCCGCTCTCACGCTGGCTCGCTTTTAGTCACCATGCGTTAATCCTTGTCGTGGCGTATATCACGGTAACTTTACATAACGGAAATCAATATTTTCCTCGAGTTAGTCGCTTCGTTGGCTTAGTTTTTTCTTCCTCAGCGCGCTTAGTTCGGTCTCGCCATCGCTTGTTTGTTAGTAAATTCATTGTTTTTTTTTTTTGCTTTTGTGCTCATACTAAGCTTTTTTTTGTGCTGTTCGCTTGTGACATCCTTCCTTCCTGCACATCCTGTGTGTCCAGTTTCACTCAGCCACGATGCCTTCTTGCCCTCGATGTCAACAACGCCGGCTCTTGGCGTTTGCTCTGCCATTAACTTGGGCTATGGAAAAAAGTGCTATTTTCATTGTTGTTACTGTTGCTCTGTTTGCTGTTGTTGCTGTTGACGACCAAAAACAAGCACATGAATTGCAATATGCAAACTTTGGTTTGAATTCCTGCATCCTTCGGCGCATCGGCGCATGTGAATGTGTGAAAATTTCGAGTGGAAGCCCCGGCAATGGGCACGTGTGTGTACGTGTGTGTGTGTGTGTAAGTGTGTGCTCCTCTGCCATGATTATGTCTAATAGATGTCTAAGTCAATCGTTGTTTAAACGTTTGACATGTGCTTGACTCGACGCAGACACACAAGTGAGCCTGGGTAATAATTTGCAGCACTTACTGTCTGATTGGTAACGATTTGTTTCTCAACAAGCAAACGCACATACGAGTACATGCATTCATATATATAACTGCAATAAAATTTGAGTGATGTTGATGTAGTTTGTAGACTCGCTGCTGGTTGAGGGTTGTTGACGTTTCTGTTGGTCGCGTTGCCATCGGTTCTGCTTCTTTGGAATTGAGTGCGGTTAGACAGTTATATGTAGAGAGTAAGGAATGTTTTAAACGTAAATAAGTAATAAATGTTAACTAAGATATTAAGCAAAATTTTTTTTACCATTTTATTACAGCAATTCTTTCGGAATCATCATCATTTTGTGAAACAGTTTGACAGAGTTTGGCTTACTGATATTTCAAGGTGAGTTTGAACATATAAAAATAATATAATATAATTTAATTAAAAAATTTAAAAAAAAAATTAAAATAGTAGGATGCAAAAAAGAAGTTAAAAATTTAATTGTTATATATTAATATGATTTTATTGAATTTTAATAAAATATATTGATGCCTCAGCAGCACGTTATTGAAAAATTATAAGATTTTAAAAAAATTTTAATTAAAAAAATTGAGTTCATCAATACAGTTTTAAAGTGAAAAAGTTGTTTGTTTCAACTAAAATTTACGCACAGAAAAAAGTCTGTTATATTTACCGTATAATAGGTTATAGTAACAGAGTTCCCAATTAAATCACATCTAAACGATTGATCTGTTAACTTAACAGAGGCTATGCTGTTGATTATAAATTTAACAGTTTGACTGTCAAATTAACAAGCCGTAAGTTAAATTAAATAGTTCCGTGCTGTTCTTTGAAATAAAATTCTGTTGCTTTTTGACCATACCGACTATTGGCATGCCTTACATTTTTGTTGAAATGATCATTCAGTCTGTTAAAACAACTGAAAAATTGTAGCCTATTCCACAGAGCACTTAAATGCATTTAAGGCCTCTTTGAAGAGAATGAAATGTCAAACGTTTCCACCGACCCCCGCAAACATTTAAAGGATCATGATTTGAAGGTATGCACCTGGAATGTACGGCCGCTTTTTTGGTAAGATGCCGCTGGTTGATGTCGATGCTAAACTGAAGGCTGACATCATTGTCTTAGGGTAGATTCTTGTGACATTTACTACAGCGGCCATTTAAAAGAGGAATTTGGTGTCGGATTCGTATTGGGAATAGGACTCTGTCGCCGAGTACTGGCATTCACGCCGATGGATGAACGTCTCGTCACAATCCACATCAAAGCAAATTTTTTTAACACATCGCTGAAAAAAGAGAAGGCCGATGTGACCGCGATGACAAAATTGTGCTTGGCAACTTCAACGCTAGAGTGGGTAAAGAAAGTATCTCGGAAAATTCAATCTGCACTGCGAAATATCCCTAAATTAGTTGAGGCTGATCGACTTCACCGAGAACTGGAGAGGGAAGCAAAAAGCATCTGCAGACAAAAAAAAGAAAGAGGCCAAGATGCATGAGCATGAAGAATTTGAGAAGCTGGCATCGGCCCGGTGATGCTCGAAAATTTTATGAAAAGATACGGCGACTTACTGAAGATTTTAAGACCAGCGCAAGCTCTTGTAGGACACAAAGAGGTGATCCTTTGTGATAGAGAAATTGTATCACCAAGAGATGGGGAACTCGATTCCGCAATACCGTACGGGTTGTACGGCGACATTGACATATTTCAGCGAATCAAGAAACAGCGGCTGCGCTGGCTAGGTTATGTAGTCTAGATGGATAAGAATACTCCAGCCTTGAAAGCTTTCGATGTAGTTCCCGTTGATCAAAGCAGAGGAAGAGGAAGACCAGCAGAGGAATGGGACTACCAACTGGAGGAGGGCCTGACTACAATTGGCTATTATCGCGTAAGCGGTGTCTATCGCAGTAGAGATGAAGAATAAGGGTTGAGGAGCATGTCTTATTTTTTACTTCAATTAACTCTCGCTTAAACATGAATTACTTCGCGTACTAATTTTCATTTAAAGCGCATTGATTTACTAAGAAAGTTTCAGTGTAATAATTTACAACAAAGCCAAGTGTCTGACAATAACAACAACAACAACCAACAAAATACTTTCACTGAAAACTTCAACGAAATCACCCGCAAGTGCTATTTGAATTAGTGAACTGTGACAGCTGCCGCATCAGCCCAAAGACAGCACACGCGTACATAACTGTGGATGGACACATACACACATGCGCACTCAGGAAAACCCGCATAACATAAAGAATCGGAGGCTGGAGCCGTCGCACGACATAAAATATAAACTTTGACACTCGACATGCACACACACACATATATGTATTACCGTAAATGTGCCGACAAACCGAAACTGCAATGCACCATTGCACAAACAACTCAAGGACTACATGAATATGTTCACATAAATGTATACACACACACACACACACACACACACACACGCTAAAATAACAATTGTGGCACATTTATAGTTACGAAAGCCTACTGAACGTACAAGCAAACGCAGGTGTACATATGTGTGTGTGTATGTGTGGGCCTATTGTACGTAAACTTGGCTACCGTCTGATATTGCCTACTCCCAATTCGATCATAAATTTAAGTACCGCAAATCAAATTCAATTGTGTGAGAGTAGAAACCCCTGTCACTGCCTATGTACACGGCCTATATTCAAGTGTATAAATACATACTTATATAGATATGTATGTAGTTGCACAAATTACAACACATTCACGCCACGGCTCGCTTCCAAACGTTTAAGACTGAAATTGCCATATAAATGATGTACTTACGATCATTCGGTGTATATGTGTGTATGTGTGTGTCCAACCAGAGTAGAGCTCAGTGCCAGCGGCTTAGTGGCGAGGGTGTCTGGGTTTTTGTTGCTCTTGAAGAGGTTGAAAACTTTTCTGGCATACGCTTCACATAATATTGAGTGCCAAAAATTGTTAAATGGGCCGTATATGAGAACTAAATTCTAACACTCATTCACATGCATACACACATACACATATGTATATGTATATATGTATGGTGAGACATAAAGAACTGACGCTTGCCATTGCCAGCCAGGCATTTTATATATGTAAATTTCTGTTTCTAATGAAAGGCCGAATGAATTTTTAAAGTTTGCATTGTGCCAACGGGAGCCACTATATATTTACATACATAATACGTTATACATATATATATATATATACAATATTTGTCTTATTCCCATTTTATGTTAGCGTTCACACTTAAAAGGCTAAGCAATGGATGAACGGTGGAACGGACGAGCGTGAGTATGCAAAAGACCGCAGTTGGGCGAACAAAAGTGCTGTAAGTAACTGTTAAAACGAACAAAAAGCTGTTGAAGACATCAACATCAACTTTTTTGAAAACGAAATAAATGAAGACTACGCTAGTGGCTAAAGAGCTGGTCTGTCATTAAACTAAGAATGGCCAGAAGCGGTGCTTTGAACTTTGGCTGAAGCAGCCGCCGACCTCCGGCCTTAGACTAGGTATCTTCTGGGTAGCCAAAAACATCGGTTTTGGTCGTGAACTAAAGTGAGAAGACTAACGACCTATAGTTGTGCGCAAGGCTTGAGCTCCGCTGGATAAAAATCTGTCCTAATGAAAAAATCGCGCCATATGCCTCGAATTAGAAATTCTCCTTTTGATTACGTCCCCTGCAAACATTTCATTTACGATTTGATGACATTCGGAATTTCTCACATTCCAGCACTTTAAGTCCAAAATATGCTGACCTTATGAACGAGACACTTTTTTAGCCTGTCGGACCCCACAGCGATGAGCCGACAAAGTCCATACACCAGCTACCTTGCGAAACTCGGTCGGATGGGAGCGTACCTGGAACCTAAGAGTACTCTGCAAAATCCAAAAAACACACAATCTGCGTGGGAAAAGCCTAGTGGATAGAAAAAACGCCTGTTTAAACGCTGCTTTCGCCATTAAGGCCAGGTTGAGTGAAGGTACTTTTGGCACAACCAAAATTGGCTGACGCTAATCGACTTCCCCGGAGCCCAAAATATAACTGTCTGTAATATCAAATTTCTCCACAAGAAAACTCATCAAGCTATACGGCTGCCGTCAGTTCAAAATCAGTGCCCTAGATGTGCGTTCGTTACGAAGATCTAACATTGGCTCGAATCACTATCTTGTTGCTCGACAACAAACCCGAGGAAGCAAGGGAGGTACGACATCGAAAAACTGTTATCACTCAACTCGATGAGAGGGAAACTTTGGAAAGGAATCTCAAACTTCTTGACAGTGCCAGAAAAAGAGCTGATACAATGAGGGAAGCAAGCCGTGTTTTGTAGGCAAAAAAAGGAAGTGGCCGAAATATGTGGGTATTAAGAGCTTGAGGAGTTGGCCCTTAAGGGTAACGCTTGAAAATTCTATAAAAAGATACCACGGCTTACAGAAGATTTCAAGATCAGAACAAACTCTTGTGGGAACCAAGGATCATTGATGTTCTGAGCATACTTGGCGTTTGGAGGAAACTACATTGTACAGTTCACTGAAGGGCAATGAAAGCGAATATGGTTAACTCACAACCCCAATAGATGATTATGGAAGAGACGACTATGACGAGACTCCAAGCCGATGAGCAAAGAAAAGCTGATAAGATTCATACATCATACATGCCAAATTTGGTTGTCGAATGAGTGAATCTAAGTGTGCTCTGTCCAGTCCATAAAAAGGAGCCCCCGCCTATAAGTCGGCTCTGCGCAGTTGGTGCTCACTGTAATTTTTAGTGAATTCTCTTGAATACCAAACGTCCTAATTGTTTGAGTGCACCGCTCCTATGTACGTGCATATCTGTGCGTGAGTGCGTGCGATTAAAACTCATGCTGTGATGGTGCTGTGGGTCCATTCGCGGTAACTGCGGTTGTGGTTTTAATAGGGTGTACCACTTTATTTTTCTAAGTCAAATTTATTATTTTTTAATCACCCCCTTGGGTGTTGTTTGGTGTAAATTTTTCATTTTTCATTTTTCTCTTTTTTTCTTTGCTTGGCCAACAGCTGTTGTACCAAGGCAGCAAGCGGCCTGTGGCTATGCGGTACTTGAGTAACACACACGCATTTACATATGTATATTAATGTGTGCGTTCATGTTTGTGGCAACAGAAACAGAGAAGCAGCAGCATCAACATCAGCAACAGCAGCAGTAGGACCTTGGAAGAGCGAAAGTTGGTTTGGAAAAGTTGGAAGTTTATAAACGTAAGCTGGCATAAATTTGACCTTTTTTGTGAAGAAAAGTAAAAACAGTAAATTCAAACATATTCACACACCCACACGCGCTCTTGTGCTGGAGTGTTCACTCGCGCATTCAGCTGAAAAAAATTCGGTGAAAATTTTGAGCGCTTCAGAC